AGCTAATTCCGTCTGGGGATCTCAAGACAAAGATTAAATCTACAATACTTCAGGGGATGAGAAAGAGCAAAGGAGATGTTTCGCTCTTAAAGAGATATTATAGTTAATACATCATGTTGTTTGAAAAAGACAAAATTAACTCGGTTACTAAAAATATTTAAAATATGAAACTCAGAAAGTATTGGGCAATTAATAATATCATAAAAATTGTAAATGGTAATGCGCCATATTTTTTATTTTACATCACCCTGTATAAAGTCCATTAAGCTTCATCATATACACTAAACATTGTTATTATTCATATTAATTATAAGAGAGAGATATGTAAGATCCAGTACATGAAGACTGGAGGCAAGAGAGGCCAGAATAGTGAGCAATACGACCTTGGCAAGTGAGGTATAAAGCCCGACTGGTGGCCGGGAAGGAGCCAGTGTACAGACAACTGACTACCGAGGCAGTTGGAGCATCTTAAACACAAGTGTTTCATCATCACCTCAACACAACGCAAACAATTATGTTCACCTCAGTGAGTAGCTTACAGTTCACACACTAGTGCGGTCGACTCAAAACCGATTGGTCCCGGGCTCGATTCCTGGGCGGGAAGAGACGTTTGGGCATGTTTCTTTACACCTGACGCCTGTGTTCACCTAGCAGCAAATAGTTAACCGGGGGATAGTAAATGACAACGGCATTCAACACATTCTATAAATGGTCAATATAGAAGTGGTAGTTTTTTTATCTGTACAGAAGTTCTTCTTAATCTATATAAGTTAACAATTCCGGTTAATTTTTTGCATTGTTTACATACCTATTTCCTTAATTAACCATCGTCTGAAACACACAATTATATTATCACATAATAACTTGCATTGATGTGTCCCGCAGGTGGTGTTGATGTGCATGATGGCGGCCCTGGGTGTGGCTCTCCCAACCGGCTACAATGTAGGTATTGAGCATTTATGTTCCACTGGATGATAAACATGACTATAATTGTTAGTATTTTATTCATAAATTGAACTGAAAATATGACAAGGCCATATCTTTCTTTCTTGCGTAAACAGGTTCCCATCCCTTACAACTTTGATTACGGAGTGAGCGCCGGGAACAACAACTTCGGCCACCAGGAGGCCGGTGACGGCCACAACGTGAAGGGTTCGTACTTCGTGCACCTTCCCGATGGCCGCGTGCAGACTGTGAATTACTGGGCCGACGGGAGCGGCTACCACCCCACCGTCACCTACCAGGGCACCGCTAGTTACCCCAGCTATGCTCCCTCCTATGGTTACCACTGACACACCCGCCTCAACAAACGCCTGGTTCAGATTTACCCCAAACATGGTCAACCATTAAGCTAGAGCTGTTGAAAAACTGACGATACTGTTGTAATATTCTTTCCATGTATTGTTTCCTGGCTGTACAGGAGCGGGTGTTGATGATGAACTAAAACTTGATCGGTTGTGTAATAAGAGGAGGAGGTTGATCAGGCCAGGAGGCTGTAGTATCCAATACTTTCTGGTCTCTCACATCTCCTCTTACTGCTTTTAATTATATTTTTCCTAATAAATATGTAGATGTAAAATGTGATGTTTTCCTTCGTTCATGATATATTAGTTGAATGTCGTAGATCAGTTAATTCCTCCCCTCCTTTGTCAGTAATAATAAAAAGCGGTCAACGAAAGTGAAGAAAATAATACGACATTATAAGTGTCGATTTATCTGTCAGTCCCCCTCCAATTTTATCTCTCCACCCTCCTCTTTCTCCTTCTACGTATCCTGTCTCACTATGATAATCACGACTGACTGGGGTGGCCAGGGTTGGGTGGGCATTGACTTCTGGTATTTTGTGACTTTAAGATAAGTTAGAAGGCAATTTTGTTTTTTAGGAAGCTTTTAAATGTCTAGCTAGTCGCAGAATTGCCAGGTTCGAAAGGTTCCCGTTGACATCAGGTTCACAGTGACACCGTGTCACACTGTTCGTTTCACTGTGCCAGTTCCGACCCGACCTTTTTGAGGACGAGCCCTACAACAATCACGGTGGCAAAGTTAGCCCCAAGTGCCTGGCCTCCACCTCTGGGCAGGCAGACGGACATAACAACAGACGTTCTAATTTATAGATATAGATTCTAATTTGTAAGTATAGATATGGTAAGCTGACTGTATTAATAAATAATTTCCCCTATGTTAATATTGTTTTGAAAAGGTCACTAGTCTTCCAAATGAGTTAAATTAACCAAGCTAGTTAATTAAAGTAATATTTGTTTAAAAAGTATCAAGAAGATGACCAGCAATTTAACACAGAAGTCCAAATACCAGTAACAAACAGTCGCAAGTAAGTTAATTATTCAGTGTGAACACTTATAGGTGATAAGAGAGATGTGATTGACGGATGTCACAGTGACGGAATTTATTTCCTGAGGAGGCTGGAGAGACTCTATATTCATATAGTCTGTCACAGTGAGACAAAGCCTGAATGCACTTCACTTCAATGTAGGACATTGGAGTGGCATTGTTAGTTCTGGAACACAACCTTAAAATTCCCTTCACCTGTACTCATGGTGACTTGAACCGTGGATCCCACGAGTGTGAGGCCGAAGCTCTATCGTCTGAGCTGTGTCGATAGAGTCTCCTAGAGCCCAGGTGAATGTAATGTTTATTTCCACGGCAGAATGGATGGCAATTAATACAACCTAAAGTTTGCAGCGTGGGGTCCTGGCCATGTTTGGTTGTGTCTGGAGTGTACCAACTTGAGTCTTACAATTTTCTCCTCGCACCTAACAAAAGTTTGGAGAGTTTCTGGTAAGTTTTGAACAATGATGAAATATTGGTGGCCATTCCTGAGAAGTTTTGAGAATTGCTGATATTTTGAGGACCGTTTTGGTAGTGTTGATTACCAGAGAATATCAGCACTCTGTTTTGTTACAATTAAAAAAACAACAACAATAATTTATCGGTATTATGAGAGGCAATAATGTTTGAGTGCCCGCTAGAAAAGGTGTTAGTAATTGCATAGAATGATATGGTTGAAGAATCATGCACTGTGTTGGCTGTTATGAAATAACAACTTATGAGTTAGGCTGGCAGAAACGGGATTATAGGATTGCAAGAGAGGAAGCTCCCGGGACGAGGAGAAAGACTCGTGCTACAGTTAGTTGTAGTCTGATCTGTAGTTGAGTAGTGACAGACGGAGCCGATGAGAATGACAGAGCCTCATCAGATATCTCAGATTCGAAATGGATTGATTGATGAAGATTAAGCCACCCAAGAGGTGGCAAATTCACAAGCTTAGTTCCGCATCTGCTAAAACAACAGATGCGGAACTAATTTTGGGAATTTGAATTAGAGAGAGAGAAATTAGCTTTGGAAGCGAAGATGCTAGATACCGAATCCAGGGAAATCCCGAAGAAAAAAAAAACAAGATTTGGGAAAGAAAAGTGAAGAAAGGAGATGAGGTGTTGTTACGCAGAGTTGTGGATTACACATGATGCCATATTCGTCAGTCATAACCGCATTGTCAAATACCGACAAGTAATAATTAAAAGATAGAACCAAGAACGATAAATGTATAATTAAACCACACATACAGTTGTGGCACTTGTCGGGGAGTTAGTGCCAGGCATCACCATCGCTGGCACCATCACCCTTACTGTGTTTACTAGTTGTGTTTTTGCGGGGGTTGAGCTTTGCTCTTTCGGCCCGCCTCTCAACTGTCAATCAACTGTTTACTAACTATTTTTTTTTTTTTTTTTTTTTTTCACACCACACACACACACACCCCAGGAAGCAGCCCGTGACAGCTGACTAACTCCCAGGTACCTATTTACTGCTAGGTAACAGGGGCACTTAGGGTGAAAGAAACTTTGCCCATTTGTTTCTGCCGCGTGCGGGAATCGAACCCGCGCCACAGAATTACGAGTCCTGCGCGCTATCCACCAGGCTACGAGGCCCCCGTTGGACTGTTGGACCACGTCCTTGCACACTTGGCAGTGACGGCCGATAGTCTATACAAGTGCGCTTGTTCTGACCGAACTACCTGACAGCGTTCCTATTTAGGCACACGAGGGTTCGTGCCAGACAAAGATCAGAAGATGATGGGGTAATTACGAGAGAAAGCTCGTATACAGTGTCTCAGGAAGGTTTATAAATTGTCACATACGTCTAGAGGAACTGTCAGCCATCGTTTAAATAGTCGAGGATAGGATAGGTATGGGGTGCATAATAAAGAAAGGTAGGATGAACAACCAACTTCTAACGTAATGTCCGATAATCTTGATGTCATTACTCCCGTCTTAGTCTCAGGAAAATCTTTAATCCTGTTTTCCTAATAATGAGTAGAAAGTTAGATGAAGAGGAACTCTCTGAAAAGTTCCCCCCCCCCACGTTACCAACACTGTCATCAAATGAAGCAACTTTTGGGAGAGAGTGTTCCTAGCCTCTCTGTATGTTCATTATTACAATGTACAGGCACTTCGTAGAGTGGTTCCCCTTGACTTATCAATACACACTTATCAAGCTGATATACTTAAGAGTGGGATGTACTTAGGGTTCGAATAGCATTAATACAATGATAATCGAGACGCTAGTTCTTTTCTTAGGATGTCAAGATAAAAATAGATGGAATTTACTTCAGTGGAAAATAATCAGTGGAGATATTTCGCTTCTGTCGAAAGATATCAAAATTAGCATGTGTTGTTTAGATCAAACAAATGTACTCGGCAACTGAGGAGATCACAAATATAAGGCTCAAAGTCTTGTTCAATGAACAACATACCAGAAAATCTTTATGACAATGGTATTATAATATTTGCTTAACATCAACCCGAACAACATCTAAAGAGATAGTGATATAGACTGCATCATCATATGCACTAAACAATTAATATTATAAGAGAGAGATATGTAAGATCCAGTACATGAAGACTGGAGGCAAGAGAGGCCAGACTGGTGAGCAATACGACCTTGGCAAGTGAGGTATAAAGCCCGACTGGTGGCCGGGAAGGAGCCAGTGTACAGACAACTGACTACCGAGGCAGTTGGAGCATCTTAAACACAAGTGTTTCATCATCACCCCAACACGACGCTAACAATTATGTTCACCTCAGTGAGTAGCTTACAATTCACATAATAGTGTGGTCGACTCACAACCGATTAGTCCCGGGTTCGATTCCTGGGCAGTGTGGGACGTTTGGGCATGATTCCTTACACCTGACGCCTGTGTTCCCCTAACAGCAAATTTATAACCAGGGGATAGTTAACGACAACGGCATTTAACACATTTTGTAAATGATCTATAGATACATTTGAAGCTGTTCTTGGTCTATATATAAGGCAACAGTGACAGTTCATTCAAATTCTAGAATTTTAGAGCTCATAATTTGCTGCATGCGGCTTCGGAAATCAATGCTTTTTCACAATCATGATAACAGCTATACAGTCGAGCGATTGAGTATCGAAGAAATTGAAGAGATGAGATCAGAAATATGATGAGATCTCTGTATCTGGAATACAGAGTAAGAGTTGTTTGTTGCATTTTTTACATACCTATTTCCTTAACCATCGCTTGAAACACAATATTATATTATCACATAATAACTTGTATTGATGTGTCCCGCAGGTGGTGTTGATGTGCATGATGGCGGCCCTGGGTGTGACTCTCCCAACCGGCTACAATGTACGTATTGAGCATTTATGTTTCACTGGATGATAAACATGACTATAATTGTCAGCATTTTATTCATAAATTGAACTGAAAATATGACAAAGCCATACCTTCCATCTCTTGCATAAACAGGTTCCCATCCCTTACAACTTTAATTACGGAGTGAGCGCCGGGAACAACAACTTCGGCCACCAGGAGGCCGGTGACGGCCACAACGTGAAGGGTTCGTACTTCGTGCACCTTCCCGATGGCCGCGTGCAGACTGTGAATTACTGGGCCGACGGGAGCGGCTACCACCCCACCGTCACCTACCAGGGCACCGCTAGTTACCCCAGCTATGCTCCCTCCTATGGTTACCACTGACACACCCGCCTCAACAAACGCCTGGTTCAGATTTACCCCAAACATGGTCAACCATTAAGCTAGAGCTGTTGAAAAACTGACGATACTGTTGTAATATTCTTTCCATGTATTGTTTCCTGGCTGTACAGGAGCGGGTGTTGATGATGAACTAAAACTTGATCCGTTGTGTAATAAGAGGAGGAGGTTGATCAGGCCAGGAGGCTTTAGTATCCAATACTTTCTGGTCTCTCACATCTCCTCTTACTGCTTTTAATTATATTTTTCCTAATAAATATGTAGATGTAAAATGTGATGTTTTCCTTCGTTCATGATATATTAGTTGAATGTCGTAGATCAGTTAATTCCTCCCCTCCTTTGTCAGTAATAATAAAAAGCGGTCAACGAAAGTGAAGAAAATAATACGACATTATAAGTGTCGATTTATCTGTCAGTCCCCCTCCAATTTTATCTCTCCACCCTCCTCTCTCTCCTTCTACGTATCCTGTCTCACTATGATAATCACGACTGACTGGGGTGGCCAGGGTTGGGTGGGCATTGACTTCTGGTATTTTGTGACTTTACGATAAGTTAGAAGGCAATTTTGTTTTTTAGGAAGCTTTTAAATGTCTAGCTAGTCGCAGAATTGCCAGGTTCGAAAGATTCACCTTGACACCATGTCACGCTGTTCGTTTCACTGTGCCATTTCCGACCCGACCTTTTTGAGGTCGTGCCCTAAAACAATCTCAGTGACAAATTGGGCAAAGTTAGCCCCAAGTGCCTGGCCTCCACCTCTGGGCAGGCAGACGGACATAACAACAGACGTTCTAATTTATAGATATAGATTCTAATTTGTAAGTATAGATATGGTAAGCTGACTGTATTAATAAATAATTTCCCCTATGTTAATATTGTTTTGAAAAGGTCACTAGTCTTCCAAATGAGTTAAATTAACCAAGCTAGTTAATTAAAGTAATATTTGTTTAAAAAGTATCAAGAAGATGACCAGCAATTTAACACAGAAGTCCAAATACCAGTAACAAACAGTCGCAAGTAAGTTAATTATTCAGTGTGAACACTTATAGGTGATAAGAGAGATGTGATTGACGGATGTCACAGTGACGGAATTTATTTCCTGAGGAGGCTGGAAAGATTCTATATTCATATAGTCTGTCACAGTGAGACGAAGCCTGAATGCACTTCACTTCAATGTAGGACATTGGAGTGGCATTGTTGGTTCTGGAACACAACCTTAAGTTTCCCTTCACCTGAACTCTAAGAGACTCGAACCGTGAACCCCACGAGTGTGAGGCCGAAGCTCTATAGTCTGAGCTGTGTCGATAGTCTCCTAGAGCCCAGGTGAATGGAATGTTTATTTCCACGGCAGAATGGATGGCAATTAATACAACCTAAAGTTTGCAGCGTGGGGTCCTGGCCATGTTTGGTTGTGTCTGGAGTGTACCGACTTGAGTCTTACAATTTTCTCCTCGCACCTAACAAAAGTTTGGAGAGTTTCTGGTAAGTTTTGAACAATGATGAAACATTGGTGGCCATTCCTGAGAATTTTTGAGAATTGCTGATATTTTGAGGACCGTTTTGGTAGTGTTAATTACCAGAGAATATCAGTACTCTGTTTTGTTACAATTAAAAAAACAACAACAGTAATTTATCGGTATTATGAGAGGCAATAATATCTGAGTCCCCGCTAGAAAAGGTGTTAGTAATTGCATAGAATGATAGTGTTGAAGAATCATGCACTGTGTTGCGTGTTGTGAAATAACAAGTTAAGATTTAGGCTGGCAGAAACGGGATTATACGATTGCAAGAGAGGAAGCTCCCCGGGACGAGGAGAAAGACTCGTGCTACAGTTAGTGGTAGTCTGATCTGTAGTTGAGTAGTGACAGACGGAGCCGATGAGAATGACAGAGCCTCATCAGATATCTCAGATTCGAAATGGATTGATTGATGAAGATTAAGCCACCCAAGAGGTGGAAAATTCACAAGCTTAGTTCCGCATCTGCTAAAACAACAGATGCGGAACTAAGTTTGGGAATTTGAATTAGAGAGAGAGAAATTAGCTTTGGAAGCGAAGATGCTAGATACCGAATCCAGGGAAATCCCGAAGAAAAAAAAAACAAGATTTGGGAAAGAAAAGTGAAGAAAGGAGATGAGGTGTTGTTACGCAGAGTTGTGGATTACACATGATGCCATATTCGTCAGTCATAACCGCATTGTCAAATACCGACAAGTAATAATTAAAAGATAGAACCAAGAACGATAAATGTATAATTAAACCACACATACAGTTGTGGCACTTGTCGGGGAGTTAGTGCCAGGCATCACCATCGCTGGCACCATCACCCTTACTGTGTTTACTAGTTGTGTTTTTGCGGGGGTTGAGCTTTGCTCTTTCGGCCCGCCTCTCAACTGTCAATCAACTGTTTACTAACTACTTTTTTTTTTTTTTTTTTTCACACCACACACACACACCCCAGGAAGCAGCCCGTGACAGCTGACTAACTCCCAGGTACCTATTTACAGCTAGGTAACAGGGGCACTTAGGGTGAAAGAAACTTTGCCCATTTGTTTCTGCCTCGTGCGGGAATCGAACCCGCGCCACAGAATTACGAGTCCTGCGCGCTATCCACCAGGCTACGAGGCCTACGTTGGACTGTTGGACCACGTCCTTGCACACTTGGCAGTGACGGCCGATAGTCTATACAAGTGCGCTTGTTCTGACCGAACTACCTGACAGCGTTTCTATTTAGGCACACGAGGGTTCGTGCCAGACAATGATCAGAAGATGGTGAGGTAAATACGAGAGAAAGCTCGTATACAGTGTCTCAGGAAGGTTTATAAATTGTCACATACGTCTAGAGGAACTGTCAGCCATCGTTTAAATAGTCGAGGATAGGATAGGTATGGGGTGCATAATAATGAAAGGTAGGATGAACAACCAACTTCTAACGTAATGTCCGATAATCTTGATGTCATTACTCCCGTCTTAGTCTCAGGAAAATCTTTAATCCTGTTTTCCTAATAATGAGTAGAAAGTTAGATGAAGAGGAACTCTCTGAAAAGTCCTCCCCCCCCCCCCACGTTACCAACACTGTCATCAAATGAAGCAACATTTGGGAGAGGGTGTTCCTAGCCTCTCTGTATGTTCATTATTACAATGTACAGGCACTTCGTAGAGTGGTTCCCCTTGACTTATCAATACACACTTATCAAGCTGATATACTTAAGAGTGGGATGTACTTAGGGTTCGAATAGCATTAATATAATGATAATCGAGACGCTAGTTCTTTTCTTTGGATGTCAAGATAAAAATAGATGGAATTTACTTCAGTGGAAAATAATCAGTGGAGATATTTCTCTTCTGTCGAAAGATATCAAAATTAACATGTGTTGTTTAGATCAAACAAATGTACTCGGCAACTGAGGAGACCACAAATATAAGGCTCAAAGTCTTGTTCAATGAACAACATACCAGAAAATCTTTATGACAATGGTATTATAATATTTGCTTAACATCAACCCGAACAACATCTAAAGAGATAGTGATATAGACTGCATCATCATATGCACTAAACAATTAATATTATAAGAGAGAGATATGTAAGATCCAGTACATGAAGACTGGAGGCAAGAGAGGCCAGACTGGTGAGCAATACGACCTTGGCAAGTGAGGTATAAAGCCCGACTGGTGGCCGGGAAGGAGCCAGTGTACAGACAACTGACTACCGAGGCAGTTGGAGCATCTTAAACACAAGTGTTTCATCATCACCCCAACACGACGCTAACAATTATGTTCACCTCAGTGAGTAGCTTACAATTCACATAATAGTGTGGTCGACTCACAACCGATTAGTCCCGGGTTCGATTCCTGGGCAGTGTGGGACGTTTGGGCATGATTCCTTACACCTGACGCCTGTGTTCCCCTAACAGCAAATTTATAACCTGGGGATAGTTAACGACAACGGCATTTAACACATTTTGTAAATGATCTATAGATACATTTGAAGCTGTTCTTGGTCTATATATAAGGCAACAGTGACAGTTCATTCAAATTCTAGAATTTTAGAGCTCATAATTTGCTGCATGCGGCTTCGGAAATCAATGCTTTTTCACAATCATGATAACAGCTATACAGTCGAGCGATTGAGTATCGAAGAAATTGAAGAGATGAGATCAGAAATATGATGAGATCTCTGTATCTGGAATACAGAGTAAGAGTTGTTTGTTGCATTTTTTACATACCTATTTCCTTAACCGTCGCTTGAAACACAATATTATATTATCACATAATAACTTGCATTGATGTGTCCCGCAGGTGGTGTTGATGTGCATGATGGCGGCCCTGGGTGTGACTCTCCCAACCGGCTACAATGTACGTATTGAGCATTTATGTTCCACTGGATGATAAACATGACTATAATTGTCAGCATTTTATTCATAAATTGAACTGAAAATATGACAAAGCCATACCTTCCATCTCTTGCATAAACAGGTTCCCATCCCTTACAACTTTAATTACGGAGTGAGCGCCGGGAACAACAACTTCGGCCACCAGGAGGCCGGTGACGGCCACAACGTGAAGGGTTCGTACTTCGTGCACCTTCCCGATGGCCGCGTGCAGACTGTGAATTACTGGGCCGACGGGAGCGGCTACCACCCCACCGTCACCTACCAGGGCACCGCTAGTTACCCCAGCTATGCTCCCTCCTATGGTTACCACTGACACACCCGCCTCAACAAACGCCTGGTTCAGATTTACCCCAAACATGGTCAACCATTAAGCTAGAGCTGTTGAAAAACTGACGATACTGTTGTAATATTCTTTCCATGTATTGTTTCCTGGCTGTACAGGAGCGGGTGTTGATGATGAACTAAAACTTGATCCGTTGTGTAATAAGAGGAGGAGGTTGATCAGGCCAGGAGGCTTTAGTATCCAATACTTTCTGGTCTCTCACATCTCCTCTTACTGCTTTTAATTATATTTTTCCTAATAAATATGTAGATGTAAAATGTGATGTTTTCCTTCGTTCATGATATATTAGTTGAATGTCGTAGATCAGTTAATTCCTCCCCTCCTTTGTCAGTAATAATAAAAAGCGGTCAACGAAAGTGAAGAAAATAATACGACATTATAAGTGTCGGTTTATCTGTCAGTCCCCCTCCAATTTTATCTCTCCACCCTCCTCTCTCTCCTTCTACGTATCCTGTCTCACTATGATAATCACGACTGACTGGGGTGGCCAGGGTTGGGTGGGCATTGACTTCTGGTATTTTGTGACTTTACGATAAGTTAGAAGGCAATTTTGTTTTTTAGGAAGCTTTTAAATGTCTAGCTAGTCGCAGAATTGCCAGGTTCGAAAGATTCACCTTGACACCATGTCACGCTGTTCGTTTCACTGTGCCATTTCCGACCCGACCTTTTTGAGGTCGTGCCCTAAAACAATCACGGTGGCAAATTGGGCAAAGTTAGCCCCAAGTGCCTGGCCTCCACCTCTGGGCAGGCAGACGGACATAACAACAGACGTTCTAATTTATAGATATAGATTCTAATTTGTAAGTATAGATATGGTAAGCTGACTGTATTAATAAATAATTTCCCCTATGTTAATATTGTTTTGAAAAGGTCACTAGTCTTCCAAATGAGTTAAATTAACCAAGCTAGTTAATTAAAGTAATATTTGTTTAAAAAGTATCAAGAAGATGACCAGCAATTTAACACAGAAGTCCAAATACCAGTAACAAACAGTCGCAAGTAAGTTAATTATTCAGTGTGAACACTTATAGGTGATAAGAGAGATGTGATTGACGGATGTCACAGTGACGGAATTTATTTCCTGAGGAGGCTGGAAAGATTCTATATTCATATAGTCTGTCACAGTGAGACGAAGCCTGAATGCACTTCACTTCAATGTAGGACATTGGAGTGGCATTGTTGGTTCTGGAACACAACCTTAAGTTTCCCTTCACCTGAACTCTAAGAGACTCGAACCGTGAACCCCACGAGTGTGAGGCCGAAGCTCTATAGTCTGAGCTGTGTCGATAGTCTCCTAGAGCCCAGGTGAATGGAATGTTTATTTCCACGGCAGAATGGATGGCAATTAATACAACCTAAAGTTTGCAGCGTGGGGTCCTGGCCATGTTTGGTTGTGTCTGGAGTGTACCGACTTGAGTCTTACAATTTTCTCCTCGCACCTAACAAAAGTTTGGAGAGTTTCTGGTAAGTTTTGAACAATGATGAAACATTGGTGGCCATTCCTGAGAATTTTTGAGAATTGCTGATATTTTGAGGACCGTTTTGGTAGTGTTAATTACCAGAGAATATCAGTACTCTGTTTTGTTACAATTAAAAAAACAACAACAGTAATTTATCGGTATTATGAGAGGCAATAATGTTTGAGTCCCCGCTAGAAAAGGTGTTAGTAATTGCATAGAATGATAGTGTTGAAGAATCATGCACTGTGTTGCGTGTTGTGAAATAACAAGTTAAGATTTAGGCTGGCAGAAACGGGATTATACGATTGCAAGAGAGGAAGCTCCCCGGGACGAGGAGAAAGACTCGTGCTACAGTTAGTGGTAGTCTGATCTGTAGTTGAGTAGTGAGAGACGGAGCCGATGAGAATGACAGAGCCTCATCAGATATCTCAGATTCGAAATGGATTGATTGATGAAGATTAAGCCACCCAAGAGGTGGCAAATTCTCAAACTTAGTTCCGCATCTGCTAAAACAACAGATGCGGAACTAAGTTTGGAAATTTGAATTAGAGAGAGAGAAATTAACTTTGGAAGCGAAGATGCTAGATGCCGAATTCAGGGAAATCCCGAAGAAAAAAAAAAACAAGATTTGAGAAAGAAAAGTGAAGAAAGGAGATGAGGTGTTGTTACACAGAGTTGTGGATTACACATGATTCCATATTCGTCAGTCATAACCGCATTGTCAAATACCGACAAGTAATAATTAAAAGATAGAACCAAGAACGATAAATGTATAATTAAACCACACAGTTGTGGCACTTGTCGGGGAGTTAGTGCCAGGCATCACCATCGCTGGCACCATCACCCTTACTGTTGGACCACGTCCTTGCACACTTGGCAGTGACGGCTGATAGTCTATACAAGTGCGCTTGTTCTGACCAAACTACCTGACAGCGTTCCTATTTAGGCACACGAGGGTTCGTGCCAGACAAAGATCAGAAGATGATGGAGTAATTACGAGAGAAAGCTCGTATACAGTGTCTCAGGAAGGTTTATAAATTGTCACATACGTCTAGAGGAACTGTCAGCCATCGTTTAAATAGTCGAGGATAGGATAGGTATGGGGTGCATAATAATGAAAGGTAGGATGAACAACCAACTTCTAACGTAATGTCCGATAATCTTGATGTCATTACTCCCGTCATAGTCTCAGGAAAATCTTTAATCCTGTTTTCCTAATAATGAGTAGAAAGTTAGATGAAGAGGAACTCTCTGAAAAGTCCCCCCCCCACGTTACCAACACTGTCATCAAATGAAGCAATATTTGGGAGAGGGTGTTCCTAGCCTCTCTGTATGTTCATTATTACAATGTACAGGCACTTCGTTGAGTGGTTCCCCTTGACTTATCAATACACACTTATCAAGCTGATATACTTAAGAGTGGGATGTACTTAGGGTTCGAATAGCATTAATATAATGATAATCGAGACGCTAGTTCTTTTCTTTGGATGTCAAGATAAAAATAGATGGAATTTACTTCAGTGGAAAATAATCAGTGGAGATATTTCTCTTCTGTCGAAAGATATCAAAATTAACATGTGTTGTTTAGATCAAACAAATGTACTCGGCAACTGAGGAGATCACAAATATAAGGCTCAAAGTCTTGTTCAATGAACAACATACCAGAAAATCTTTATGACAATGGTATTATAATATTTGCTTAACATCAACCCGAACAACATCTAAAGAGATAGTGATATAGACTGCATCATCATATGCACTAAACAATTAATATTATAAGAGAGAGATATGCAAGATCCAGTACATGAAGACTGGAGGCAAGAGAGGCCAGACTGGTGAGCAATACGACCTTGGCAAGTGAGGTATAAAGCCCGACTGGTGGCCGGGAAGGAGCCAGTGTACAGACAACTGACTACCGAGGCAGTTGGAGCATCTTAAACACAAGTGTTTCCTCATCACCCCAACACAACGCTAACAATTATGTTCACCTCAGTGAGTAGCTTACAGTTCACACACTTGTGCGGTCGACTCACAACCGATTGGTCCCGGGTTCTATTCCTGGGCAGGGCGAGACGTTTGGGCATGATTCCTTACACCTGACGTTCCCCTAACAGGAAATTGGTAACCAGGGGATAGTTAACGACAACGGCATTTAACACATTTTGTAAATGATCTATAGATACATTTGAAGCTGTTCTTGGTCTATATATAAGGCAACAGTGACAGTTCATTCAAATTCTAGAATTTTAGAGCTCATAATTTGCTGCATGCGGCTTCGGAAATCAATGCTTTTTCACAATCATGATAACAGCTATACAGTCGAGCGATTGAGTATCGAAGAAATTGAAGAGATGAGATCAGAAATATGATGAGATCTCTGTATCTGGAATACAGAGTAAGAGTTGTTTGTTGCATTTTTTACATACCTATTTCCTTAACCGTCGCTTGAAACACAATATTATATTATCACATAATAACTTGCATTGATGTGTCCCGCAGGTGGTGTTGATGTGCATGATGGCGGCCCTGGGTGTGACTCTCCCAACCGGCTACAATGTACGTATTGTGCATTTATGTTCCACTGGATGATAAACATGACTATAATTGTCAGTATTTTATTCATAAATTGAACTGAAAATATGACAAAGCCATACCTTCCATCTCTTGCATAAACAGGTTCCCATCCCTTACAACTTTAATTACGGAGTGAGCGCCGGTAATAACAACTTCGGCCACCAGGAGGCCGGTGACGGCCACAACGTGAAGGGTTCGTACTTCGTGCACCTTCCCGATGGCCGCGTGCAGACTGTGAATTACTGGGCCGACGGGAGCGGCTACCACCCCACCGTCACCTACCAGGGCACCGCTAGTTACCCCAGCTATGCTCCCTCCTATGGTTACCACTGACACACCCGCCTCAACAAACGCCTGGTTCAGATTTACCCCAAACATGGTCAACCATTAAGCTAGAGCTGTTGAAAAACTGACGATACTGTTGTAATATTCTTTCCATGTATTGTTTCCTGGCTGTACAGGAGCGGGTGTTGATGATGAACTAAAACTTGATCGGTTGTGTAATAAGAGGAGGAGGTTGATCAGGCCAGGAGGCTGTAGTATCCAATACTTTCTGATCTCACCTCTGATCTCTCACACCTCTTACTACTTTAAATTATATTTTTCCTAATAAATATGTAGATGTATAATGTGATGTTTTCCTTCGTTCATGATATATTTGTTGAATGTCGTAGATCAGTTAATTCCTCCCCTCCTTTGTAAGTAAAAATGAAAAGCGGTCAACAAAAGTGAAGAAAATAATACGACATTATAAGTGTCGGTTTATCTGTCAGTCCCCCTCCAATTTTATCTCTCCACCCTCCTCTCTCTCCTTCTACGTATCCTGTCTCACTATGATAATCACGACTGACTGGGATGGCCAGGATTGGGTGGGCATTGACCTCTGGTAATTTGTGACTTTACGATAAGTTAGAAGGCAATTTTATTGTTTAGGAAGCTTTTAAATGTCTAGCTAGTCGCAGAATTGCCAGGTTCGAAAGGTTCCCGTTGACATCAGGTTCACAGTGACACCTTGTCACACTGTTCGTTTCACGGCCAGTTCCGACCCGACCTTTTTGAGGACGTGCCCTACAACAATCACGGTGGCAAATTGGGCAAAGTTAGCGCCAAGTGCCTGGCCTCCAACTCTGCGTAGGCAGACGGATATACTAACAGACATTCTAATTTATAGATATGGATTCTAATTTGTA